TCCGACTTCCCTGTCCTGCGTCTGCACTCTGACAGAGGTGGGGAGTTTTCCTCTGGCCTCTTGGAGGCCTTCTGTCAGTAGGAGGGCATTGAGCAGTCGTTCACGCTTCTGGCCTCTCCACAGCAGAATGGGGTTGCTGAGCGCCGCATTGGCTTGGTCATGGAGGTCGCTCGTACCTCCTTGGTTCATGCGGCTGCCCCCCACTTTCTGTGGCCGTTTGCAGTCCGATACGCTGCGCATCAGCTCAACCTCTGGCCCCGTGTCTCCTTACCGGAGACTTCCCCGACACTGCGTTGGACGGGAGAGGCTGGCGATGCGTCGCGTTTTCGGGTCTGGGGATCTCGAGCTTTTGTTCGCGATACGTCCGCGGACAAGCTCTCCCGTCGAGCTGTCCCCTGTGTCTTCCTTGGCTTTGTCCCGGACGCGCCTGGTTGGCAGTTCTACCACGCCACCTCGCGTCGTGTCCTGGCCTCTCAGGACGTCACTTTTGATGAGTCCGTCCCCTACTACCGCCTCTTCCCCTACCGCACTGCCCCGCTCCCCCCCCCGCCTCTCTTCCTCGCTCCAGGTGCTGAGGTACCAGACCCCCTCCCCCCTCAGGGTGCCGCTCCCTCAGGTGTGTCCCAGGTAGACCCGGTTGAGCCTGTCGAGGTAGCTGTTGACTCTCGTCCTGCTGGGGGTGCTGAGCCTGACCGTGCTGAGTCTGGGGGTGCTGAGCCTGGGAGTGCGGAGCCTGGGGGTGCGGAGCCTGGGGGTGCGGAGCCTGGAGGTGCTGAGCCTGGGGGTGCGGAGTCTGGAGGTGCTGAGCCTGGAGGTGCTGCGTCTGGGGGTGCTGCGTCTGGGGGTGCTGAGCCTGGGGGTGCTGAGCCTGACCGTGCTGAGTCTGGGGGTGCTGAGCCTGGGGGTGCTGAGCCTGGAGGTGCGGAGTCTGGAGGTGCTGAGTCTGGGGGTGCTGTGTCTGGAGGTGCTGAGCCTGAGCGTGCTACACCTGGAGGAGCCCTCTCCTCCCAGCAGCTGCAGGAGAGGTACCTACAGTACTGCCGCCTCCGGAGAGGTGCTGCTGGAGCTCGTACCAGTACTTCCCCTCCTGCCCAGGAGCTCCCCCCCATTCAGCAGATCCGAGAGTGGTACGCGCGGCGCTGCAGTCTTCGGAGTGGTGCTCCTGGTGCTGCAGACCCTGGAGTTGGGGCTGCTACTGGTACTGAGGACCTGCGCGGTGGCGCTACTGCTGCTGTTGAGGACCCGGGCGTGGGAGCTGCCGCGGGTGCTGAGGACCTGGGCGGTGGCGCTGCTGCTGGTGCTGAGGACCCGGGCGGTGGAGCTGCTGCTGGTGCTGAGGACCCGGCTGGTGGAGTTCCTGCTGGTGCTGAGGACCCGGGCGGTGGAGCTGCTACTGGTGCTGAGGACCCGGGCGGTGGAGCTGCTGCTGGTGCTGAGGACTCGGGCGGTGGAGCTGCTGCTGGTGCTGAGGACCCTAGCGCTGGTGTCTCTGCTACTTCTGGAGACGCTGCGCGGCTGCGACCGTACTTCGTACCGCTCCTTCAGCAGGTTCTTGGTCAGGCTCCTCCTCCTCGTCCTCCTCCCTCCGTAGAGTGTCCTCCGCCTGTCCAGTCGCAGTCACAGTTACCGCCTGCCTCGCCTCTTCCTGGTCCCTCTCCCTACACTGGTCCCACAGGAGGTCTTGCTGAGCGTCGTGAGCCTGCGTCTCGTCCTGCGTCGCCTGTTCGTACTGCTCGCACTGGTCGTCGTGTCCCACGTGAGCGTCCTCCTCCTGTCCCTGGCACTCACTACATGACTCTGCGTCCCTCCACTGCTCCTCAGCGTGTCCCGCTACCGTCTCCTCCTGCTTCCTCTCTTCCTACTCTTCCTGACCCGGAGTCTGACTCCCGTCGTGCTGCCAGTCCCACTGTCACGCGTCTCCTCGCCACTGTTGTCACTGACCCTACCTTTGAGTCCTCTGCTGCGTCTGCGCTGGTCGCTGAGTTGGTTGACTTTGCTGCCCGCTGTCGTCTAGACTACGCCGCTAGCCTTGTCGCTGAGTCTGCGTCTGAGTCTGTCTGTCCTCCGTCCGTCGGGGGTGAGTGTGCTCTTGGCACGGACGTCCTTGAGGACAGACAGGAGGAGTTCCAGTGCCTTGCTGCTGTTTTGCCCCGTCTCGTGTCCTTACTAGTTGCCCCTGAGGGAGACCCGGATGCTCCTGACATCCCGACCCCGCGCACTTACGCTGAGGCGATGGCAGGTCCCTACTCCTCTCAGTGACAGACAGCCATGGACGCGGAGATGGCTTCCTGGAAGTCCACAGGCACCTACGTCGACGAGGTTCCCCCACCTGGGGCGAACATCGTCAGTGGCATGTGGATTTTCAGGGTGAAGCGGCCGCCGGGTTCTCCTCCTGTCTTCAAGGCGCGCTACGTTGCTCGAGGCTTCAGTCAGCGAGAGAGAGTTGACTTCTTCCAGACCTTCTCCCCCACCCCAAAGATGACCACTCTTCGGGTGCTGCTGCACATAGCCGCTCAGCGCGACTACGAGCTTCACTCACTTGCATGTTCACTCTTGTTAGGTTGTGATCACTGTATCTCTTGCTCTATTATAAACCTGCATGTGGACTGGTCTTGTGACCGCTTGCTTGTGCTCGGAATTTGTGTGGAATCCTTGAGATCCACCCTGAGCTTGCCTTCCTTTGCTTTGACTGGTCTCGTGACCCTGTGGTTGTCTCCCACTGCGCCTATGGGGGTGTGTCAAACATTATATGTTTATATGATTGTAGGCTGTAGTGGGTTACACCTTAGGGGGTACACTAGATTAGGGTTTCCTACTTGTATCCAACTTTGTGCTAGTACAGTCATTCCTCGTTCAGTTCTTCTGACAGGAGGATGGCCTTTGTTGCGCGCCATTGGGGACCGAGGCCGCCGATGATGATTGTTACGAAGGCGTCTTCAGAGATCGACCCTCCGCATCGAAGAAGCTTGTCGCGCAATTCGCGACATCGGCTGATATACGCCATTCCTTTCTCTCCTGGTTTCATTTCGACTGTTGTCAACTGCGCCATTAACCTGCTCTGGTTTACGCTGTCTGTTGCTTGATACAGGCTCTTCAGGTGGCTGTACGCGAGCTCAGCGGAGTTGCCGTAACCCCGGTAAGAACGTATGTTCTGCTGCCAGGCCTCTGGATAGGATTTGGGGTACTCTTCCTCGTAAGGCCAACACCCAGCTGTTACTCTTTCAGTAAGGGTGCTTCACAGGAACTGCTCTTAAAAATCAGGGTGCAAACAAATTAAAGAAACTGCCGAATATTTTTGCTGAGCCTACTACGTAGGGAGTTAGTGTTGCAGTGTGTTGAGTTGTCGTTGTTATGTGGAGGACCCAAGTTCGATACCTGTCGGGGTCATCCGCCGTAGGAAATGTGTTTTACGCGACCAATCCTGGTATCCTCTCTTAGATCGAACTCGATTTCATCAGTGCTACTACACCACATAGCACACCATATAGCTCTGAAATATCAGTGTCATACAATCGATCACTTTTTTTGGTAAGGGTCGAAAACAAAACCAGTCTTGTAAAAAAGGGTGCATCGTAAAACCCGCCCTTATAGTAAGGGTCATAAGGGTGAATCACCCTGATATTGAGAGGCCAGTCTGCTGCTGAGTTGGTGTGACGTTCCTCAGCAGAATCGTATACGCCATCATCGATTGATACGTATACTGCTGTTTCTCATACTGTGTGCCATTTGTTGGGTATTGCAGGGACCCGTCGAAGAAGCCGAGTATCTGCGCGCCTTCCATCATGAGCTCGAACTCAAACGACCAGGTGAAGAAGTCTTTGCCGTCGAAGGGCCTTGACGTCTGCAGCTTCAAGACGTGTGCGAATTGCGACTGAACTTGCAGTGCATCCAGTGGTTTTTCTTGTCCAGGTGGAGCTTGCGGGTGCGGCATGAAGCTGATGGACCCGCGTTCGTACGGAGCAAAGGTGGGTTGCTGCTGGTTTCCGCGCGCATATGATGAGCCGTCGAGACTCATTGGAGTCGCCTCATGGTTGTTGTTGCTGTTGTTTGACTGCGCAGGTGCCGACTGCGGATGCTGCTCGTAGAAGGACATGAAGGAGAAGAATTTCTCCATCATACTCTGGTCGAAGCTTGCAGGTTGATTCGCAGGAGTCTCGGTAGATGTTGCCCTGGGTCTTGTTGCCGTGCCTTCCTCTGTCTGCAGGCCAGAGGCAGGAGGTGGAGTAGGAGTAGTGCCAGGAGAACCGTTAGAGGAGCTCATTTATTTCTGTGTTGCCATGTCTTGTAATGTTTCTGATGACTTGATAGTAGTGGAGTTTCCCCTGTTTGCTCTCATACCATGTTGGGCTGAGAGAAGCTCGTAGGATCTTTGCAGGGGTAAACTCTGGGTAGGAATAGTTGTAATAGCGGAAGCGTTAATGAAGAACTTGTGAACCACCTTGCGCTAGTATGTGAGGGCAAAGTAAGTTGATTAAAACAAGAAGATACAAGGATATATATAAGATTACAAGGAATATGAAAGGATACAATAACTACTTTTGCTGTTGCGGTTTGATACAGTGACGACTCGGGCAACTGCTCTGTAGCGAGTCAGTTGTTTGTCCTTGCTGTCGCGCTGTACTTGTCAGGTCAAAGGTCGCTGAACCGTTGACTTTCGCGTAACCTCCAGCAACCTCTCAACCTCCGAGGGTTGACTCTCGAATGTCTCGATATGACTTTGCTTCGCTTCTGGTGCGATGTTTTGACATGACAGAAGCGTTTAGGATTCATTGTTTCTAACAACCAAAACCAAAAATCACATACGCCCTACCTCTACATCTAGACTAGAGTTCTATTCAGGAGCGCCTATTATTCATGCCAAGGATTTAGGGAGAAGTCCTCCTCCCTGGCTGTGTTGACCTGTGCCTGCGACCGACACTTGGAACAAATTCCTGTACGCGTCACTTCTCGGCGCTTTATTCGTGGACCGCTACAAGCGCGTCTGGGAATACCTACGGTATCTAGAAGTTGGTGCTGCTCTTGTACGTGTTCCCAACGGTCCACTTTTCGGGAATGACGTCTTTCAGCTCCACGCGCGCGCCGCCCACCGCCGTGACGCGCACGCTCACCTTCTTCCCCGCATCCACGATCTCCTTCGCGGGATCCAAGGCCCACGTGGCGCTCTCCGCGAGTCGCTTCATCTTGCTCCATTTCTTGCCGTCCTTAGATAGCTCAACGCCCTCCACGCCGCCGGCTTTCGCGGCGCCCAGAATCTGGACCGCGAACCAGTACTGGTTCGTCCCGGGCATGATTTTCACTCCGATATCGCCGTTCTTCGGGCAGTCGACGCTGCGGAACTTAATCTCCACGTACCCCGCGTCGCGGCCGCGGACGATTTTGTCCCATGCGGTGGAGGCGAGCAGGAACTGGTCGTCGCCGTGCCGGCCGGTCGCGCGCACGATCACGCTGCCGCTTCGGCAGCTCTTGTGGTTCTTGCACTCGATCTCGTAGCACGTGCCGCAGCCCTTGCCGCCGTCGTACTTATTTTGGGGCAGGTACGCGGTCAGCCCTTTGTAGAAATATTCCGAGTCGCGGAAGTTGCCCTCGTAGAAGCACGCGCCGCCGCCGGAATTAATTCCATCGCTGAACGTGGACCGGTACGTGGTGGCGCTCGCGGGAGCAAGGACGGCGAGCGCTGCGACGAGCGTCGCGAGGGCTGCAAAAACGCGAAGAGCCATTTGAAGCGCGAGGAGCGGGAATAGCTCAGGGTGGAACTGGGTTGCGAGTTAGGCCGTGCAGTACTAGTGGGACTGAAGCGAGCAGGCAGGAGGGTGTACGAATCTCAGCAAGCGGTAATGATGCTCTGAGTGTGTGGGATGGTGTGAAGGAAGGAATGCGGGTGTTTATATACGCCATAACGCGCGACGCGGCGGGGAGCAGCGACGGCTTCAGCTCGACGTCGGCAATTATCGAGGCGCCGGGGAGCAAGCAGGAAAATTGCTCCGGGAAGTTGCCTGTTACCTATGCGGGCTTCATGGGAGAGATTATTGGAGGCTGCTGCAGAGCATGTGTGCTGCTCTTGACGGCGCGCGATCCCAACCCATGCACAACACAGGCAGGACTAGTTCTTTGTCAACCCGGCAGGGCGTATTCTGCGCGGAAAGCAGTATAATTGCGAGGACAAACAATTGTGCCATCTGTGTGCACAGGAAGCCCCTTGAAGCGACAGCCGTGTGATGCGCTTTTCATGACGAGAGAATTTTTGGAAGCTGCAGAGCAGAATATGCAATCCAGCAGCACCCATACCGCCCAGCAGGGAGACGTCCGTTCCCCGATACAAGCCCTCGCATGAACCCCACTCCCCGACGGAATGAGTGCAGCCATCCATCGACAAAGACATATCACAGTACAAGCTCGAGTATTCCTTCCAACAGCTAGGAGGTAGAACCTATATTCTATTGCGGAATGTAGTTTTTTCGTGGGAGAAGCTTACATCAATAAGCAGCAATAACACATGAATGAAAAAACAGATGCCGTAGGATCTCAACAGCTACACGTGGTTGTAGAGTGAATCCCAACCCATAACCCAGACAGGGACAGAGTAAACTAAGATGCCAATAAGAAACGAAGGCAAAATGGTACTGAGGAGGTACACGTACGAGCGCCATGGGGTCCCAAGGGTGTAGTGGAAGTAGAGAATCTCAAGAGACAACATTGACACTGTGCTGAGCCCTGTGAGAAACCCTAGCTGCACTCCTCCCACGATGACTTGCGATGTATGTGACTTGGCCTGCATGTGTGACACAAACGACCGTGTGCAGAAAGGGAGGTGAGGCACTGCGTGGACAAGATTCACCAATCCGAGTCATTGTGCAAGCGTAAACTGAAGAGAGGCACACATAGTCCATTCATACCGCGAGATATGCCACTGAAATCACAGCTTCCAAAGCAGCAGCCCCCACGTTGGCGGTCAGGGTCCCCCACGGCATCCATGCAGCTGCACCCGCACCCTCCTCCCACTTCCGCTTCTCTCCACCCCCCCTCCGGTCCTCTCCACTCGCTCCCTTCCCCTCCCAATCGCCCTTTGGAACCACAGCCCAAGGCCAGCCCCGTTGAGCGGCAGCAGGGACCAGCGCAGGCAGGTGCCGAGTGGGGCGAGCGCGCAGGCGAGGCAGAAGGCCTGCAGGCTGGCGCTGTGTGCGGCGGCCAGCACGGCCCCCGCGATTGCCGCCGCCCAGAGGACAAGCGCACACAAGAGCATGGGGATGACGTGGCGGCGGGCGCGTGATGATGGGGAGAGGGGCGGGGAGGTGGGATGTGAGGGGGATGGGCGACAGGAAGAAGAGGAGGAAGGTGGAGGTGTGGGGTTTGAGGATGGGAGGAGAGAAGGGGAGGGGGAGGAGTGTGGGGACGGGGAGCGGGGGGAGAGGTAGGAGTGGAGAGAGCAGAGGTTGTGGGCGGTGTCTGCCCCTGCGACAAGGGAGATGATGGGCAGCACGGAACCTGTTGGATGGGAGAAGGAGCAGGGAAGAAAAGCAAGGGGGGGAAGGTGGAACTTTTGGAATCGCGAAAGCGGTTGCTTTCATGGAGCCGAGGTGGGTTGCTTCACGCAAGGAAGTGACAGCGTGGTGGATTGAGTGGTGGCGTGGCGTTAAGTAGCTGTCTCTACTGCAAAGCAAAATACGTGAACAAGTCCCCGGCTGGCCCAAAACCCATCAACGGCAGTGGTGACCAGGGGCTAGTGCCACGGGGCGAGTGTGAAGATGCCAGCATGGAAATGCAGGACACGGGGCAAGGCAACTGAGCGACAGCCATCTCTATAACTCGTAGGACCGACTCAGTTACTGGAGAAACGAGGCGTGGCTGACCTGCAAAATAGCCGAAGAGGGCGCGGACCCAGAGGCCGGCAGTGGCGATGGCGAGCATACGCTGGTTCCACGTGGCGAAGGTGGATATGCTCCCACACAGCCCCACCACCAGCCCTATTGCCAGGTGACGCGAGTGCGCAAGCAGCGCCGGCAGGAACACCACCCCCAGCATGCCCAGCAGGAAGCAGCCCAGCTGGCGTGGAAAGGATTGGGAGAGGGCGGGGAGTGAGGCTTGGCGATTCGTCAAGCAGGCAAAAAGCGGCGCATCCATGCAAATTGGGGCGTGACAAGTAGCTGGCAGCCGCATGGTTGAGCCAGCTGTGCTCGAAATGAGACAAGACAGGGAAGCTGGACCGACCTTTTGACGCGGTGAGGCGACGAGTTGAGGCGAATGGTGAGGCGGCGAGGAGAGGTGTGTCCAGCGCAGCCTGTGGCGCTTTGTGCTTGTGCTTCTGCGCTCACCATGTTGGCGGGTAGGTCAATGAAGATGGCCTGCTCGTCGCTCGTCACGTGCGCCACCTCCGGGCCAAACAGCAGGTCCATGCCGTGCTGCACCGCGATCTGAGGGGGTGGGGATGGGAGGGGGGCCGGGAGGAAGGAAGGATTCTTTGAGAGGGAGGCGAAGACACGAGGATGGTCGAGAGGTTGAGTTGACGCAAGAATGTATGTGCAGGCAACACATATGCAAAGAGTGCCAAACAGCTAGGTGATCGCATGAGCCATCAGCCAGCCTGCGCCAGACGCAACGAGACTAGATCAACCTCAATGCCCCACGCTCACCATAGACTGCGCAACGAACGCAATGCTCACATCTGTTGATTGCATGAGCTATTTGCTCGCCCCCGCAGCGCTCCCCATACGCGCCATGCACTCACCCCAATGATGGAGAAAGTGGTCAGATGTGCCACGATGCTCACTCGCTCCAAAGCCACGTCCGCCCAGCCCGCCAAGCTGCTGCTGCTGCCGCCGTGCCTCGAGCTGCCGCTGCCGTTACAGTCACATCCGCTACAGTGACGGCCGGTGCGAGCAGCGCAGGTGGCTGCGTGGCGCGAGCAGCAGGAGCAGAGCAGCTCTCGCACGAACGCGCGGTGGCTGATGTAGCTGTACGCCGTGACGGAGAGCTGGATGGATGGGAAGCGACAGAGGGGAGAAGAGAGGGGAGGGAGAAAGAGGAAGAGGAACGTTTGGTGGCTGATGTAACTGTACGCCGTGACAGAGAGCTGGATGCGGGGTAGGAGGGAAAGGGGGAATGGGAGGAGGAACGAGACGGGAAAAGGGAGAAAGAGGAAGAGCATCGCTCCGCGGCTGATGCAGCATGAGGGCTGTGGATGGAAGATGCGACGGCGGAAGAGGAAGGTGGGGTGGAACGAGAATGTATGACGCATCTTCGCATCGCACGAGGGAGGGAGAGGGAACGAGGAATGACGCGACCTTGCGCTTTCCCAAAAACCCTGAGAGCTGGTGAACGCACCTCGGCAATGGACGTTCGAGGGAGCTTCGCCACGGGCGGCTTCGGCTCCGCGGCAACCGATGCGTCGTGCGAAGGCGGCTCGAGAGTGACGCCCACAGAGCACCCATCGATCTCCGCGGCATTCCTCGGCGGATCATCCGACGGCTGCGGTCGCGCGCGCGGTGAATCCGCAAACGCGGACGCGGCAACAGTGGGGAGCCGCGCGCTTCGAGGCGAGTCAGAACTGCCCGATGCGCTGTCTGTTCCTGTATCCGCCGCGTCTCGCGGCGCCGCGCAATCTGATGAAACCGCGGGTTCGAAATCCGGCGTCCGAGCGTGAGACGATTCGCCGTCTCTCGCGTCGCCGTCTGTTGCGCCGCCTTCGGTGCCAGCGTGCCTCGCGACATCCCGCGCGGCCACGGCGCGCATGACGGGAATGCAGCCGCAAGTGGCGGCGTCTGAATCCGTGCGGCCCAACAAGCTCTGCCCATCGTCGTGCTCTCTCAGCTTGTCCGCACCGACGCTCCTCTGTCGGTCAACCATTTTGAAGCCCCAAGCACTAACACGGCGTACGGTCACAAGCGAGTAGTTTCGCGCGCTTGACACGTGCTTTGCTGGCAGGTCATTCAATGCGGCGCCGCAGCGCGAGTCGCAGCGAAGGTGGGGGGTTTCAAAGATAGCCAAGGTCGTGGACAGGTGCCTGTCGTGTAGGTAATCTACACGAGAATGTTAAAGACGACGAAAGCGACAGACGCGTGCTCCGGAGCGGGGCGGGAGGGCAGCATCGATACGATAGTGCGCATTGGGTTCTTTTATTTGACGCGGTGACGGAAAGCTGCGCTACGGGAAAGCCAGTGACGAAAAGCAGGGTGTAGGATGGATTCTGTGGTGACCAAGACACCGTCAGCAACGTGTCAGAGTTGGAAGGGTTGCTTGATAGGAACAAGTGCAGTTTTCAGAAACAAACGTGGAGCAGGACCAGGCAGGCAGGCAGAAACAAAAGGCAACAGCTGGTGCAGGGTTTGTTGGGTTCGAATTAAAATTCAGTTGTGTGCTTTCGGAGTAAAAACAACCGCCACAATCAGAAAATGGACTTTTCGTTGCCGGAATAAGTAGAACTCAAAAGGTTTTGTGCCAGGGGATGAGATGCACTGCTACGCCGCTAGAAGTGAAATGTTTTCTGTTTGTGCTGACTTGGTGTTGATGGCAGCTTGTCATAGGGATAGCCAAAGACGCACCTGGACAGGTAAGGAAGGCAGGGTGCGCACATCTGTTCCGTCCGTTTGCCAAAATGCCGGACTGAGGGAAGGCTTGGCTGGTGGCCGTTTGGTTCGGTGCAGGTGGTGGTGAAGCACGTTGGCGCTATTCTTTGGCCGTTTGGTTCGGTGCAGGTGGTGGTGAAGCACGTTGGCGCTATTCTTTCTGTGTTGAACTTCATCCCAGGCCTTGTACGCGTTGCATCGCGTCGGGTCGCATTTACTGTGCGAACTTCGATTCTCCAATTCGTCACTGTATACAGATAATAATTCTAGCATATGCCAATCACTTATTCACACTTCCGAACTAGAACTGGATCTTGCCACCATGGATACTTCCGTAACTCTTAACTCATTCTCTCCTAGAGTTTATTCTTCAGCTTGATATAATCACGACAGTTTTGGACTTCGTACACTGTTCCGTCAGTGACCAGGCACGTCGCCGTGATGACTCGCGACGCCTGGTAGCCGGCGTCTAGTTCATTGGCTTCAAGGCGATCTGTACCACCGGCGAGCAGCAGCGCGAGAACACCATGAAGGTCAGCAGGTGCACAGCCGTTGGCGAAGCCCATGAGGCAGGCCATCAACAGCTGGGGCTCGATGGCCCCCTTCCAGGTGAAGATGTCATAGCAGCTGATCAACGGCGCAGTAACGGAGATCTTGTCCGCCGTGAACTTGAAGTAGCCGTACGTTGGTGAAACTCCACTTGCTGTCACGTGGGTCGCTGACGCTGGCGTCACACTGTTTCGACGCCCACCGGCATCGCTTCGCGAGGAGTCTGCAGCCCTCGCGCCTAAATGCCGCCGACTTCACCGGCGTGTATCACTCCTCTCTGCCTCGACGTGCCTCCCGCACCGCTGCCGACTTGGTCACCGGCGTCGACGCCCTCGCCGACGCTGCCTTCGTTTCGCACCGGTTGATGAGAGGTAGGCCGGGAAGGGTGTTCCGCCGCCCATTTGGCGCGGATGCCCAGCTCGACAACCTCCAAGGGGAGCACCGTCTCGAATTTGCCAGCCTTGTGGCGTCTCCTGGCATCAGCCAATCGAGTCCCCAAGGTGTCTGCTACGCCCATGTGAACTACGGGGTCGACCATGGCGACTAAGACGGGTGCTGGCTTACGAACGAATTAGGCGTTGCGGACCTAAATTGGCTATCCCGGAGGTATCGTTGTGGGGCCGTCCACGCTTACCGCACCATGCGGAGGAAACTACTACAACGTGAGCTAGACTGTGGGGGAAGGCACGGTTATGAGAATGATCGTGGCAAGAGTTCCACTAGCAAAGGTTCACAACAATTGTCCGAATGATAGTAACAAGGTTGGAAAAGCTGACTGCATCAGAAGCTAGCAAGCATGCAGGTCGACCTACCAACATGGTCGACCGCATTCCAGAGCTACAAAGTTCGCACCACTCCATGTTGGAGGTTGAGTGTGGGGGGAGGTTTGCCCCCAACCACCGAATGTGTTGCTTCCGAAGGTGTTCCTTGCAAGTTCCGTGAAATTGCAGGTTGACTTCGGAAGACCTGCAGATCGGTGCCGGCAGCACCTGGAACATTCGAGGACCAAAGGAACATTCGAATGTGTGAAATTCGGTTGTCGAATTTCACCACATCGAAATGTTACCCACAGAACATTCGCGACACTTCGTGTAGCAACTCGATGTTACGTGCGCGATTTGACAAATTGAGTAGCTATAAATGTGTGCGCTTTGTATGCATGTTTCATACTGAAAAACAGAGTTCATTGTACACAGTGCAATTCGACCAAAATCCAGAGAGCTCCTATTCTTGATTCTAAGGGCACTACCTAGCACATAAACAGCTATATCTCACTCGATACTTGGGCGTTCGAGGTGATCTACGGCTCGTTGGAAAGCTAGAAGAGTGCTCTACTGCTTAGTATAACCTAGAGTTCCTGCAAAGTAGAGGACACGCCTCTACATCAGTGGTATCAGAGCATGGGGAACACATCGAACGGCGCGAGCAAGTGCCACTATTGCGGCAAAGCGGGACACTTTTGGCGAGAGTGTCGGAAGCGGCCGAGCGATTGGACTCCATCGAAGGCGCGAAACCACGAGGGCAACGCGCACACGGCATCCAGCAAGGCGGATGATACAAGGGAGTCGATCGCCGGTGACGGAACCAACACTTCGAGCGACGCGTGGTTCCTCGACACCGGCGCAACGCAACACATGACGCACTCGGCATCGTTCCTCACCGACATTGGTGCACCGCGGGACGTTAAGCGCGTCGTCTTCGGGAACAACAAGTCGCTACCGGTGGTTGGAGTTGGGAGTACGCGTCTCATCGTCGATGGCGGACCGGTTGACATCACGAACGTGCTTCACGTTCCGGGGTTGAAGGTGAATCTACTCTCCGTCACTCAACTCGCGAAGAAGGACGTGAAGTTCACCATCGATGGCGAGACGATGAACCTCTTTTGGAAGGGGAAGCAATTCGCACAAGGCGTTCTCAACGGAGAACTCTACCAACTCAAGACGCACCCGGGAGTGGCTTCATCCAACGTGGCGCAAGGTTCCAAGGCGACTCTTAAGGCGTGGCATAATCGACTTGCGCACGCCAACTACGACTCGGTCAAGGAGTTGGTCAACAAAGGACTTGCGAAGGGAGTCGACGTGATCGCCGGCGACGACGAGAAGGGCGTGTGCGGGGCGTGTGTCGAAGGAAAAATGGCTCGCAAGCCATTTGGTAGCCGAACGTCACCCCTCGCTAAGGACCCGCTTGCGCTTGTTCACATGGACGTGTGTGGACCGATGCGGCATGCATCAAAGGGAGGAGCGCGGTTCCTCTTGGTGATGCTCGACGACGCGACGCGGATGTGTTGGACCCGACTCTTGAAGGCTAAGGGCGATGCGGCCAAGGCGATTCAAGAGTGGGCGCTCGAAGTTTGCGACGACGACAAGAAGCGGATCAAGGTTATTCGCACCGATGGTGGTGGCGAATTCGCGAACGCAGAGCTCGAGAAATGGATGAAGAGCAAGGGCATAAAGCACGACGTCACAACACCCTACACACCCCAACAAAATGGAGCGGCGGAGCGGCTTAATCGCACGTTGGTGGAAGCCGTTCGTTCTCTTCTTCAACACTCCAAGCTTGGGAGCGAGTGGTGGGGAGAGGCGAGTGCGCTAGCGGCGTGGATTCGCAACCGTTTGCCGACGAGGGTGCTCCCGGGAACGACTCCGTTCGAAGCATGGACCGGAACGAAGCCGAACCTATCCCGCCTACGCACCTTTGGGTGCCTTTGCTACTACCATGGACCGGATCCCCTTCGCCACAAGTTGCAACCGAAGGCTCGTGCGGCGACCTACTTGGGAATTGCGGCGAACGAGCGTGCGTGGCGAGTGTGGGACTTGGCGGAAAAGCGCGTCGTCACATCTCGGGACGTGGTGTTCGACGAAGACAAGTTTCCGATGAAGGAACTACCAACACCACAACCCACCGTCGTCCTTCCTGCACGAGAGGAGGATGAAGCGATCGAGGTTCCACCCCAATTGGAAAAAGAAGCCGAGAATGGAGGGGGAGAGAACGAGGAGTGCGATGATGATGACATCGTGGAGGTGCCACCAACCGAGGAGGCAACTTCCTCCGCACCTTCTTCCCTACCATTGGCGTTGACCCGTGGGCGTCGTACACCTCGCCCCAACACGAAGTTAGCCGACTACGCTACGGTAGCCGTTGGGGAGTTGGATGAGGAGCGTGCGGCATATTGCTTCGCAACCATGAGAGATGACCCTCGCACCCACACGGAGGCTTTGGCTTCTCCGGATGCACCTCTATGGAAGCAAGCGATGGAGAAGGAGCTAGCATCGATCAAGGAGAACGACGTGTTTGAGCTCGTCGACCCGCCGAAGGGTGCCTACTTGGTGGGATGCAAGTGGGTGCTCAAGAAGAAGTTGGGAGCCGATGGGAGTGTCGAACGCTACAAGGCGCGGATTGTAGCTCAGGGGTACACTCAATGGGAGGGGGAGCATTATAGTGAGACCTTCGCTCCTGTCGCCAAGGCTACAACTCTTCGAGTGTTGCTCGCGCTAGCGGCATCGCTTAACCTCGAGGTGGAGCAATTGGACGTTTGCACCGCCTTCCTCTACGGGCTTCTTATGGAAGAAGTCTACATGCGGCAACCCCCGGGGTACGATGACGGTAGCGGAAGGGTGTGGAAGCTCAAGCGTACCCTCTACGGCTTGAAGCAAAGTCCACGCGGATGGTACAAGCGCATCGACGACTTTCTTCTTCAACACGGCTTCGCGCGTAGCGAGTGCGATAGCGCTTTGTACGTGTTGAAGGAGGGGGAGAAGCAATTGGTGCTTTTGCTCTACGTCGATGACTTACTCCTCTTCTCCGACTCCAAGGACCTCATTCGGGAGGTCAAGCAACGGCTAGGGGCGGAGTTTGCTATGAGGGACTTGGGGCCGGTCACGTACTACCTTGGGATGCACGTTGACCGTGACCGAGCCAACGGGACCATCCACCTCCACCAAGAGAAGTATGTGAAGGGGGTAGTGGAGAGCTTCGGCATGGGCAATAGCAAA